AATACTAAATAAAATATTCCCCCCACCACAGGATGTGCTAGAGGACAGAGCAGGGCCTCTAGCACACTTTCTTCTGAGAAGGATGACCTGGATATGGATATCTGGTGGAATGAGGACTGGAGCCAAGCAAGGAGGGAACAAAGGAAGTGAAGAAAGAGAGTAAAAAGCACAGCGATGGCCCAGAGGGGGCAAGGACGGGGTGAGGTTCAGAGAGCAAGGAGTGCATGCGGCTTGATCTTGGGAAGGGACTTGTTGACATGTTCTTCCTTTGAGAAAGAGGGAGGAAAGGACAAAAAGAGGTCGAGAAAAGGGTTGAGAGTCGTGAGGAGAGTGGAGCAGAAATTTATACAACAATGTGCATTTTCAGCCAGCCTAAAACTGCAATGGAACCAGTCCGAAGGTCTTCATGATTTTCTCCTGGATAATTTGGGAGCTGGAAGAAAATTCACGACAGATAATGAGGGTGATTTTGGATTGAGAACTGGAAGATGAAAAGCCCAACAAATGATTCTAGGATTCCAGGAGAACCGAAGCGGCTGGCAACCTATACACTCCGAGGGAAGAAATGGAGCCCTAAAGGGCTGAAAGATTGGAAAAGCAAGCCCTCAAGAGGGACCACAGTCCGCAGCGAGGGTTCAACCCAGGTGCAGTTGGTGCAGAGAACCTGCTAAATAGACTGAAGTCCAAGTACCAGGTTTTCGAGGTGGGAAAATTTCCAGGACCAAGGAAGTCCCAGATGTCAGTGGTTGAAGTAAAGAAGGAATGAGTCCCTAGGATGTGGTGTTGAGGAACTTCGAGGTCAATGAATTAAAAGACCTCAACATAAACCCATCATTGGCAAGAGACAAAGCCGAGAAGTGAGCCAATGGTGCTCGCCATTTTTATTAATTTTGAAGCTTCAAATGAGGTGATTCCCAGACCTGGTTGTACATCCAAATCATTCAGGGAGCTCTGTTTTCTCTTCGCATCCTCTCCGCCCCTTCTCTTTTATGGTCTGTTTTGTTCTGTTTCATTTTTAAGAGAGATTTTTTTGGGCTGGCAGGTAGCACTGTGATTAAGACACCAGACTCCCACATGGCTGACCCCAGTTGAAGTCCCAGACCTGGTAGCTTGCTTTTTCACTCTCCCCCCCTTTCTCTGTCTCTCTCTGGCTACATTGAAGAATAATAATAAAACAGATAAAATAAAAAATTCTTTAAAAAGAGAGAGATTTTTGTTATAGGGCACACGTGCTTGCCAGAGACACAGAAAGAGACAGAGAAAAAGTGAGAAAGCATCTCCTGTGGGGCATGGCCACGCTGCAATCCCTTCTCCTCCATTCTCTTCTTGGGATTTTGGGCCTGTGTGCACACGCACCTGGCGTGAGATTCAAGCCACCTGGTCTGGGACTTGAACTGTGGTAAGTCATGTGGGAATCCAGCGCCTTACTCACCATGCCACCTGTCAGTCCCTATGGTCTGTTTTTAAAATAAGGATGGGGGGGTCTCCCTCCCCCCCCCCAATTTCTAATATGGTATTATATTTAAAAGACTCTAAAGAGTCACATTTTTTTAAAGTGTTCCAGGTGATTCTAAGAAGCCACCAGTTGGAAAGCTCTAGGCTAAAAGATAAAAAAGAGTTAGAGAAACCAGCAAGTAGCATGGTGGATAAAGGTGCTGGATTTCGACATGGCCACTGACGGTTCGAGTCCCAGACCTGGCAACTTGCTTTCTTGTTTTCCCTCTTTCTCTCTGTCTCTCTCTGGTCAAATTAAAAATAACAATAATAATAACAATGGAATTAAATAAATAAATAATTCTTTTTTTTGAGAGAGAGATTTTCGCTATAAGGCGCCTGTGCTCACCAGACAGACAGAGAGAGACATAGAGACAGAAAGCGAGAAATCACCCCCCAGGGGGGATGGTCACACCACAATCCCTTCTCCTCCATTCTCCTCTCGGGATCTTGGGCACGCATGCACATGCGCCCGGCGTGAGTTCTAAGCCACCGGGTCCGGGACGCGAACCGCGGTTGACTACGTGGGAGTCCAGCGACATAGCCATTACACTAACTACTGGTCCCCCAGACTGTGCTACCTTCTAAGAAGAGACTAGGCTGGTGATGGATTACTGGTTTGGAGGTGGCATCCAGGATCAAGGGGGATGGGTCAGCTGGTGGCATGGTGAGTAAGGTGATGGATACCCACATGGTCAACTGTGGTTCAAGTCCCTGACCCAGTGGCTTGAAACTCATGCTAGGTGTGTATGTGTGTGTCCAAAGTTCTGAGAAGAGGCACGGCTGTGCCCCCTGGGAGGTGATTTCTCACTTTCCCTCTCTTTGTCTCTGTCTGTTTCTTTCTCTCCACTGTGTGTGCACGCCTTATGACAAAAACCTAAAAAAGAAAAGGTCGAGGGGAAGAGCACCCCTGCTCTGATGAGAAGGGGGAAGACACTCTGTTCTGAGGGAAACTGTTCACTCTGGCTCTGGAGGGAGAGGAGATGGGCTCTGCTATAGCAAAGTG